AACTTTAACACAGATTACAGTATCTCATTAAATAAACTGGATTATGTTTTATTCAACAAATTGAACAGGTAACTTTAGAATGGTAACTGACAGGAGCTTTTTATTAAGCAGCGATATTAAGTGAAAGTCCGGGGACGATTAGATCAGGCTTGAATGTACTTTAATCTAAAAGTACATGAGCCGGATAGGGAGGTGGGCTTGCAAGGGACAGCGGAGGGAGGAATATCTAAAGTTACTGTTCAATTTGTTGAATAAAACATAATCAGTTTATTTAATGAGATACTGTATCTGTGTTAAAGTTTAGAGAGATTGTCAAAAATGTATTAGAATTTGGTAAAAGAATGTATGCCACTTAAAACAAATCCTCACAGAATAACAAACGCCTATCTGCCCCCCGCCATACCCTATCCTAAGGGAGATTTATTGTTTTTAAAGTAAGATGATTATTGTTTTTACCACATTAATAAAATTATTTGACTATTTATCAGAGATGGTGTAGAGCCATAGAAGTATTGGGTATTTCATGCGAATGTGCCAGTTCCCAGTTCCCCCCATTTACACCTGGTAGAAACATGCAATCTAAATCTGAATACGTTATCTTGGTATTGAATCTGATCACAGGCCTTTGGATTTACACCTGCTGTTAAAAGCATTCTTTCATCGCATTTGGATTCCTTATTGCAATGCATGTTTACTTAACCAGATAATATATCTCCACATACACATCACATGTTAACAGTAGGTGTTATGGCTTTATACTCTAATGATCAAATGATCCTTTGACCCCAGTTTCAGAATCACTGGTTTAATCTGAACCTGACAACCTTTCCTCAGCCCATCAGGTCATGCTAACCCTGCTAGTGAGTTTAATAAGTCACTCATACTTTTGTCAAATAGGTTTGCAGTATACCTACCTCTCCTCTTACAATACAGACCTTTGCAGTTTTTACTTTTGGCTTTCTCTGCTGCTCTGACACATTATGATTAAAGTATATTCAACCCTTTAGTGTCACACTTTCACTAATATATCTTTATAAAAAGCTCCTATCTAAAGTTACTGTTCAATTTGTTGAGTAAAACATAATCAGTTCATTAAACGAGATATCTGTGTTTGATTTTAGAGAGATTGTCAAAAATATATTTAAAAGTTAGAAAGTTGAATCCTGCCTTAATAACACAAAGTGTTCAAACAGCCCCATTCATGATATACAGGGATCAGGGCTAGTAACAGTAAATGGGGTAAAACTTAAACTTGTACCATTACAGATACTCTAAATATCTTTGTGGAATATGTCTTTGTATAAGTGCGTGCGGCCCTCTATTTTGCATAGGGCAATATTAAGAAACATATAACATACGGGAAAAGATATCTGTCTTCCAGATTGTCTCTGAGGGTGTCAGAAAAATTCCCCTGAGATACCTTAGATACAACAGATCCAGTGCCAAACATTTCATGATTCTACTAGTTTCACACACTCATATCCCCAGCATCTAAGATGTTTAAGTCAGCTGCCAAACATAATTGAGTTCATGATCTGTGCTTTATATATGTATCCAGAAAACAAGCTAAATGTAAAGATGAAGTAGGCAAAGGCAAGCATTGTGAAAATAATAATTTTATAGTTAAATTCTACACATTCATTTGTCTAATTTCTGATACCTGTCTGTCTCCTCAGCTCTAGGTTGTTACTAATGTCCTAGAAAATCACTTACAATACTATCATGTGGTGATCTTTAGAAGAGTGCTGAGAATGAGGCAATTGGTTCAGCAACTGTAATCACAGCCCTGATTAATTTGTGAATAAATTGAAATCAGTAAGACATTGATCTGGTACACTGCAATGTTCTTATTGTGCTGCAATCTTTTCTGAATGCGATGCAGTCTGATGCTGGAAACCCACACCGTCTGAGGTTAAAACACTTATTTGCAGATTCTATCTCTATATTTACAGTATCTCCTCTTCTCTCTAAAGTAAAAGTTCAGTGCAACACCTGCAGCCTTTTGATCCCTATTTCAAAGCATTTCCCTGAGAAAGTGATAATTTCCTACCTGGAAATATTGCTTAATAGTGTATAAGAGAAAGCAAAATGTGTGTTTTGTTAGCCTTGGAGTGCAGAGCATACAGTAACAAAGAAAGCTCTGTGCGGATAACATTGTCTGTAGCCGAGGCATAGATCTGCAGTCTCCTGCTGATATGTTCCATTTTCTCTGTTCTCTTTGTGCCTCTCTTATTTTACGAGTGTGCTGCGCTATCGCCAGGGCAACATGGGTGGATGAGTGATGGTGTCCATTAGTAAACATAGCCCCCTATATGTGCCATCGGCCTAAAGAGCCAATGTCTTGAACCTCCTTTCTCTCTTTTTTTTTTCTTCGCCCTCCTACTCTCTCCTCACTTATTTTCCACATTCTTCCCCACTCTTCCTCTTACCTTTTCACCACAACGCCCCGCTGCCCCCACCCCGTCTATTTCTTTCTCTGCCTTCCTCTCCTCCCTTCTCCATCTATCCTCCTTATGGTTGTTTTTCATAGCTACAGCTCTGCAGTAGAGGGAGGGATGAGACCATTTCTCTTCCTCCTTTGTGCACTCATTTTTGCGAGACAGAGCGACTAGAGGATGGGTTGAGAATGTCAAGCATTAGGTTGGGAATAGAGCGCCGTTCAAACAAAAGAATAGGCCACTAATATGACAGATGCTGTGTGTAGTGCAGAGGAATATTAGCAAATCTTGAGGCAGCAACGGGGGTGAGGAATCTGGCTTCTTCGTAGACGTGTGCTGCTTCCACTCATGTCGTGGGTGACAAGTACAATCTTGCATCTTTTTAAACTTAAATCCAAAAAGCAGCATGGCTTTATAAATGTGAATTTAAGCTTCATTTTGGCAAGGCTGCATTTATGAACTGGGGGTTTAGTTTTTTTCTTAATGTTCTTTGCACCCCTACAGCACACGCTCAACACAGGCGCTCTACTGTACACTGGGAAAAAAAATGCTAATTTCACAATTAGCTTTTCTGTAATTAGTACGGAAAGGTAATTGCGGCGGATGCGCAATTAGCATTATGTAAAGTGCTTTTCCCCAGACTTAGGGGCCAATCAGTTTGCCCCTTTACATTCTCCGTTCAGCTGATGATGTGGGAGACGCTTAGTGCCGATCATAAGAGAACTTCCTCTCCCTCCCACTCCAATGAATGCGATTCACAAAATGAATCAGTTGGGGTCACATGCTCGCTGGAAAGGGGGTTGAGGAAGTTTTTGCGTCTCATTTTTATCTGCCTGTGAATATGAATGGAGAAGAGGGAAATCACTGTCATACCAGCCGTTACAGCACAAAGCCTCCTGATTGCATTCTGGACTCTGACATGCTTTTTTTTTCCTACAGGGAAACCAAATGTTCTTGCGCAGCGTGACTGACTCATTGCCTGATTGCCCAAAAACCTCCATCCCCACCCCCTCTCCGCTCCCCATGTTTTTAAATCCAACTCCAGCTCTGTCCTTTTCTTCATCCCTGCCTCTCAGTTTGCATTCAAATGGATTAGTGCTCATAGCAGTGATTGGTGATTAAAGATAAAGATAATATTACCTCCATCATTAACCCACATATGATTTTTCTTCTTAGGTGTCAGACGTCAGAACAGCACAGTAACCAGCATTTTCAAGTTACTGGACAGCAATAAAGATGGCAGGTAACTAACATGCTGATTATTTAATTGTTGACGGTTGAAAACCTTGTGGCTTTGATTCATGTTCATGTTGCCCTTGCTGTACCCACTTTAAGGAAAATTAAATCTATTGTATTAATAGTTTTAAAATAATGTTGAAACGGTTTTTAGATATTAGTCTTTTTTTCGAGGCCACCACTGATATTTTTATACTGAAACAGTTTTCCCCTTAGGATTTTACTCTTGCCAGGGTGAAAAGGCTTCTGTCACAGTATTTAGATTTCTATGAAATCCAATACTAAAGAAATTCTTAAAGCGTATTTGCTCTCAGTTTGGGCTTTTCTCCTCCTACTGTGCAGTTTTAAAAATGTACCAGAGTGGGCATGAAGGCTGGGGATTGTGAAGAAAAAGGAACAAGGCTGAAGGTTTCAAATCTAGCTTTATATTTCCTTTTTCCTACCAAATGATCTACTGTCCCTGAACATGTGCTTCTACCACTGAACTGCATAATTTAACCACTGGATGCCAAAATGAGCAAAGTGAAATTAATATAGCGGCGGCACATTTTGTGCTCAAATATTGACGAAATGACTGACATTGTCATTTTAGTACACTACAAAAAACAAGTTAACATCTCAAAAGATAGAGCTACCAAAGATGAGAAGCCTTTTCAATGGCAAACTCGGCTAATTAATTTAATAGCCCCCAGCTAATTACACTAAATTGCTCAAAAAATGAAAAACAACCCTGCTGTAGGGCACATATTTAGTTTTATAGACAACACTGTGCATGAAAACAAAGGTAACCCGTAATTTCTGTCAATGTGGATAAGGGGTGAAATATTACCATGTCAGATTCACAGATGTCATGTTCACTCACTTGTAATTTTTGTCGTCCTCGAGTGTAAACCCTGCTAATACAGCACAGTGAAACACAAACAACATAAAAGATGAGTAAGATGAAGAAGATCCATAACACTGGATTAAAATAATGATTAATATTTTTCTGTTTAGACATTTCTCTCACCTATATTCCAGCTTATATCCTCATGCTATAAACCAGATGTTTCTCATTCACATCAATATGTATATGTACTACACTCATTAGTTCCACCTTAAGTTCTGATGCAGCGAAGTCTCATCAGTCTGAGTTGAGTGCACACATCTCATTCCCTGAAACTCCTACACCTATTTGTTCTCCAGCAAACTTTAAAAACTAATTCATTGCCGGATGTGCATTGTTTAATCTTCCAGTCCCAACAGACCCACTTGTCGCCCACCTCCCCCTTCTGCCCAATCCCCCAGCTTCCCCTCAGCCACCCAGGCTGACTAACTTGCTGTCGTGAGCAGTGTTTAACCTCTGCTAGCTTTAAAGAGAATGGCATCTATTTTGCTTTCAAGCAAGATACTTAAATTTGCTGGTAGCTTGCAGAAAAACAGAGCGCATGATATCCAATGAGCCGGTCCCCTTCATGCTTTTTCTCCCCGGCTATCCCCACCCTCACGTTCCTCACCTTCCCACACCACGCCTGGACAAAAAAAAAATCAATACTGCTTAAGCTAACTGGGCACATTCTCCTGGAAAGGAAGCGGGGCTGGGCATAGTAAACTGAAAGCGCTATAAAACATATGGCTGCATCGAGGACGAAGTGCTTGTGCAGCGATTTTCCAGGGAGCGCTATGTGCCCACTTATGCATTCCTGCGCCTGGATGTGTACCATTATTCAGCCCTTCTGCCCCCCCAATCCCCTACCCCTTCCCTCCCCAGCTCTGCTTCCATCCATCCACTCTATCCCCTCCATCCCAGGCGGTGTCTCTCCATGGGCTGCGCTTAAACAAACACATTACTAAGCTGAAATATCTGCAAGTGCCGCTTATTTCTATACAGCCATTGTTTCAGTCTGTCAGTCAATGGGATCCGGTGAGCTGGCCATCTTGAGGCAGGACATGTATTGATGCTCATTTGAATAAAGCAGGAGGTGGAGGTTTTGTATATGTATGCTACATCACCATTTTTTTATGAAAAGCTCTGCAGCTCACACGCCCAAGTGTCAAGCTTGATTTAGTTGCCGTTAGGATAAATGCAAAGTCCAAAGTCACCGGTATACCTGATGCTTGCACATTGCCAGGCAATTTGCTGACTTTGAACTGGATTAGCATGCATGTTGCAGACTCTTTATCTTGTACAAAAAAGCTCTTGGCTTTGTCCCTAATGACACTTAGCAAAACACTACCCCGTTCTTAATCCACTCGATTGGAATTGCTAATTATCTTTAATGCAGATTCACAGATAATTGTTCTCTCATTTATACTGTGAACTAATCTCATTTTTGTGTCCATTTAGCCACTAATAATTGCTTCATGACAAAAATGCCAACACTTTTTTTTCATGAAGTTTTGAATTCACTCTGAAACACATAAAGGAATATATCAGAAGCTAACAGGCTGCTGATTATCATCATAATTGTATTTTAAAACAAATATTATAAATATTAACTGTGATTTGTGGATTAGCAGGTTCATAGAGTTAGTTAGAAAAGGCTCAGTCTGAAAGTTTCTTTCTATCAGTTTGTACTATGTGGGGGAAAAAAAAATCTTCCCCACACATTGGTCATTAAGGTAGCTTCTGGACTTCCTCACCATTATTACATCCCAAACCTTCCCAAGCACCACACACACAAGTGCAACCCACTGTGCCAGCTGGCAGGCAGTTGGCAGCGCCAGTGCAGGATTAACTGGTACCAGTATGCTGGCCTATAAATAGAGTCTACCAACTGCTTCAGGAAATGAACCATGATGGAGCCTCCCAAAGGCCCACGAACAGGTTGTGCTTTTTATCCCCTCCTCTCTGTCAGGATTATAAGTGTGTTTGAGAGCGAGTTCCCTAATGTTTATTACTGTCTCTTCCTGTCAAACCCACTGTAGGTGTGCATCGCAAAGCACCTACATTTATGACGCCATGGTCTAGCCCTATATATATGTGTGTAGATGCCCTCAGTGATTGGGGCCAAAGCCAGTTTTCTTCACACGTGTTTTCAGAGTCATGGCTCTGCAGCCTTGGTGCCGCCTCACAATGGAGAGAGCCATTGTTTTGCTCCAGCACTTACCCCGAGCATTGATCCTCTGTAGTGGAACAAGCTATTCGCTTTGTATGTTTGCCTGCTCTTCCGCTTTTGATGGACTCCTGGGATTGATCCTGGCTAGGCAGTCATTATCTCAGCTCAGTAATGTTAGTTTAGGTGGAGCCTCTGGAAGAAAGACACCAGCAAGGAAAGAATGGCTGAAGAGAAGATCTAAGTGTTCTGGGATAAGAGGTGGTGTGTGTGATTTCGGTTTTGCTCTGTGTTGTCTCAGAGTGAGACAGACTAACAGGACAGAGAATCTGAGTCACAGCAATGTTGACTAAGCCCGATCTGACCTAAAGAACGAGCTTACCCAAAAGTGAAAATGTTCAACTTACCCTCGTATCAATTGAAACAGCAGCAGAGTTTGTTTGCAGTTCTGTATACAGCGAGTTAGCTAGTGCTGCTTTTTTTCTGTCATCTCCAGAGGAAAAACAAAAATACTGACTGGTTCATTGATAACTCCAAACAGCTTGTGCACCATAGTCCATGTGTTGTATAATCACAAAGGTCCAAAAGTACAATATTTAATTCATTATCTCAAAGGTTTTCCTTACTTGTAAAGTTCAAGTTCCCTTATAGCAAGTACAGTACAAATGTTTTGCTGGCTAGGTGCTCTGGAATACAAACCTTGTGAACAGCTTTGTGGTTGCAGTGGTGAAGGCCTCGTAATTTTTTTTGTTGTTTTTTGCATCATATCATTAAAGTTTATGCCTTTTGTAAAATGTGCTTTAAACTGTGAGGAATGCTAATATACTAACCACATCTTGTTAATTCACTTTTCACAGTTGGGAAATCTAGTAAATTATCAGAAAGACTTTCATTCAGCTTATCTCAAGAGCCTGGAGTTTTCTTTATTTATAAGGAATTGGCTTTAACTGACAAACCAATCATTTTACCAAAATACTAACTTACACTGCTCTCATATGTTTTTCTTTTTACACAACAGTATAACGGTGGATGAAGTCCAGGCTAAAGTTTCACTCGTCCATGATGAGGAGCGGGTTCTCTCTGAGGATGAAGCAGTGGTAAGTTGTCTTTTATTCATACAGCTTATAATACAGTGCTGGCAGGTTAGTGAGTGGCCATTGCCTTCACCCAGGCCCATTGTTTTGCTAGGCTTAAATCCATGTCCTATTTGACCTTAAGGTACTTGGTTTCCCTTACAAAAACAACATTGTGTAGCATGTACAGTATAACATAAAGAGCCATATAGTCAGGTAGCATTTTTCAGTTTTGCTAAACAACAAGCTGGTATAAATCTACAACCACCTTGCCTTCACTGTGATATTTGTATCTTGCTTGGGTTGACTGTCTGTCTGCCTCCACTGTTTTCTCCACTCGTACAACGGGGTCCCTTCCACATTCATTTGAATTCTGAACAGGACGAGTGCAGTTTCCCAACGGTGATTCCCCCCCCCCCAAACTGCAATGTGAGAGAATTTGGGCTGTCTGTTTCACTTTAAACTTGTTGAGCCTCCCTCTTACCAGCCAGCAGTTATCAAAATCTCTGGCTGTAAACAGAATGGCTAGAGCTCCATTTTTTCTTTTTCTTTTTTTTTTTTTTACCTTTTCTTCTCCCTGTTCCTTTTTCCACTATAAATGTCAATTGGTATGCACAATCATACACACACGCACACACACACACAAAAAAAACGTCTGCTGGGTTCTCCTACTGCAGGGCAGGAAAAGTTCAGCTTGTGAGTAGGTTGTCACGTTGCTGTAAATGTGTTTACAGAGATGTTCGAATTTTTCACAAATCAAGTTAGCTGTTTTTATGGTTGGTGTGGAAATGTCCTCCGCTCTGTCAGGGGTGACAGTGTGTGTCTTGCATTAGCTTACTAATTTTAGCTCCAGGAAAATGTCTAAATAGAAAATTTGTCTGGTTGTTGTGGTGTTGGCATATTAACAGAAGCCTCACCAAAGCTGTAACCAACATGACAGACTCACGGATGGGGAAAATCAGCGTTCATTTGTTATTACTGCTGGCTAACGGGGAGGCATTCCTAATGAATTCAGCTGCATCTGAGGAGGATGAATCGGTATGAATATGCATGAATATGAAAATGTGTACTTAACTGCAACCACAACAAACGGTGATCAAGCTGGGCAAATTAAACTGGGTGTCATTGACAGTACTTAACAGGCAATTTACATTAGGACTGACAAGCGGCCCTGTGTTAGCACCTTAATCAAGGTCCAAGGGCAGCAACACTTGTACCATACCAGAAGTTAATTCTGTGTACTGGGAGGGATTTAGGTAAATGATTTTGCTTTATAACCATCTATTAATTATTTTCTAACGCCTTAAGGGCATTTTCTGGCGACTTTAATATTGCGTTTACATTGCTGTACACAGCGAGTGCATACCCTAAATTTCAAAATACCCCATTTCATGTTGATGAATACATGCTGTTGAATGAACACAATAACACTGGGTCTTCATTCTGTTTTATTTTTGTATATATGTGGACAGAAAGGAAAAGAGAGTTATTCCTCATCTGTTGTAATGTCTGAAGACCTTGATTACTTTTCTTCTGTCACACTCAGGGATAGGGCCATATTATTATTTTTTTTGCACACTTATTCAATTTGTGTCATTTTCACACCTTTTTATTAGTTTCCCCTTTCTTTTTCCTCTCTCTTAAGAAGCTTTGGCCTCCACAGAAAATTCAGTTTCCACTTCAGCGGCCCAGATAATTCAAGAACAGAGAGGATTTTCAGGAGAACAATTTGATGATCAAAGGAGGCACTCCACTCGGGAGAGAAAAGGGATATTCTGACGTGGCGCTCCCTCAGTATTCTATCATTATGTTATAGCCCTCCATTCCTGTAGAAACCACTGTTAATGTAGATTCAAGTTCTCTCACATTTAGAGGGTAATCATAGGTATCCAAGAAGAATGTCTTGCCATTTTGAGGAAAAATGGTGCCATTCTTGTCGAGTTGTCTCCTTTTGTCGCTGCGTTAAACATAGCATAGAGACCTGAGCAGATATCACTTCAATACTCAAACTGAAGCATTTGCACTTAATCATCTCCTAGAAAAATCTTGCAAAGAGAGGACTGTCCTCTCTTTTGGAATTAACCACAGGGACAATACATCCTCACAAGCACTGATGTGTGACCAAGCTTGGACTATAGCTGTGTGCTGGTGAACGGAGCCGGTGGAAATTGCCTTCTCTCAAGAAATAGGCATTTGTGCAGAGGTGAATTTCACTTATCCATCTACTACCCACCTGCCTCCCTTCAAAGCCCCCTTACTCAGTCTACCAGAAATGGAGAGAGACTGAATATAGAATATGTTTTTCTTTTTCTTTTGAACAGGAAAATGAACAAATCAAATCCAAAAAAAAAAAAAGAAAAACTTCAACCTTTGGTGTTCAACCACTTCTTGGTGGTGATAAGAGGAAAGATTGGGGTATTTCACTCTGTGTGTGTAGATGAAAAACATTGCTGTAGTTGCATGAGAGGTTGGGAATTTCCCATAACAGCTTGCTAGTCGGTATAGAAATCTTGCTTGTTTCACAGTTTAATAATATTGGCTATACCCCAGGGGTTCCTATATACTGTAGATGAATTGGTAACAAGGCAGAAATGAAGACAGTGTAGTTTGGAGGTAGTGGTGCATGGACAAAGGAGAAAAACTGAACCTTAAAGATCTCATTATAATGAACTCTTTGACATCTATAACTACCTTTTAAGAAATCCTGTTTGGTATAGCATGAGTAGACTAAATACTACATTTGTGCTCGATATGAAAGGAAAGTTGTAGTGTATTCTCATTCAGACTTTAGAGTTTACATTTATTATTTGGTGGTTGACAAAACAATGCCACATTAAGGTCAATTTAATGTCCTCTGACAGCAGATGGGTTTGACCCAGTTGTCATGGAATTGTCACATTTCCATTTTTCCCCATCACTTTAAGAGATTTAAGGGGATTGAGATTGATCAGAACAAACTTTGAAACTCAATATTATAAGTACTTTAAAAAACAAATTTGTCTCCAAAGCTAAAATTGGCATCATAAATTTAAATAAAATACAAATTAATTTATTAATGCTGAAACAATTAGTCGATTCATTGTCAATTGTCAAAACCTTCCAACAAATTTGAGCATTTTCAGTGGTTTTGGGTTACCTAATGTTAGCTTTTTCTGATTTATATAATTGTAAATTGAATATCTGTGGGTTTTTGGACTGTTGGAACACAACAAGAATATGTTGCCTTGGGCAATTTATAAATAATAATTAAAACTAATAAATGTATTAAATGAATAGTCCAAAAAGAAATACAAATGAATGGCTAGCAAAAATAATCTGGAAAAACCTTGCCCATATACTTCCCATAAAGTAGTTATCAAGAGTAAAAACCATCCCTATACCATTTATTCACCCATTTCTGACATTTTTCTGTCATAGTGACAGATTGACAGCATCCCACAGAGCCAGAAAGCCCCTGCAAAGCAATCTGGCCTAACGCGACTTCACCTTTCTATCTTGGCAACAACACTGAGCTCTCTTGATGTTCACAACATCCACTGATACGCAAAAAAAACAAACACCCGGCGCCTCGTGTTGCCCCTCCCACCCCTAGTCACCAGCAACCAAGGTCAGCCACTCGGCCCGGCTCTTCACACCATCTGTTTGGGCTGGTTGACATTTGGCCCTTGCCAACGCTGAAATCTCACTTCAGAGGGGGCCCGGCGTATTTGCATTCTGTTTTTGTGTTTTATATCAAGAGGGCAGATTTCAGCCATTTATTTGATCTCAAAGGCAATAATTAAGATCTTCCCTGAATGTGCAAGATATTGGTAAAGAAAGAAATGTAGTGGTACATATTGAATAAGTGTGTATGCTTTTAAAGTGTTGTATACAGTATGCACTATATGGCTTTTGACTTCCCATACACTGCAGCATATAAGCTGCCCATTACATCTAGAGTCCAGATACAACCCTAGCTGTAATTGTTGCACATTTAATCAACCCAGGGTAAGGGTATATTTAAATCACAGCGACATGAATAAGGAGGCAGGCATTACAGTACATCTTGCGCCCTGATTGTCTCACCACCCTCCAGAAGGGGGCAGCAGGCCTCTAAGTTGAGTGGGAGCTAATGGAAAAATGGAAAGTCACATTCACAGGTCATTTAATCTCTTTGTTTTGTCATGGGCTGGGCCTCTGGTGCTGCTTTCCTGCCTTGCGCTCTCAAAAAAAGAGAGAGAGATCTCTTCCGTTCAGAAAAGAACAATTCTAATCTGCCTCCAAGAATTTCCTTTTTCATGCATTTATAGGGAGGTTTCGTAAGCTCGTATTGATTCGAGGATTTATACGTGTGTGTTCTGAGGAGAGTTGTGCGGCTGGGTGCGACTATAAGAGCAGGGTTTTCTCTTGACTGTCTGTATTTAACTTTACAAAATGTCTTTTTTTAGAGCAGTGTATGCTCTTGCGTCACAGAGAGTAACCTAGAAGTTTGATATCTGCAGACCTAAGCTGTACTTATGATTTCAGTCCTACTGTATGGATGTAGGCCATGATGTTACTTTACAGTGTATGCACAGGCTTGCCATTCCAGGCTGCGTTTGCTTGTGGATTATAGAGTAGTTAAGGTAAACCATACAAAGCTTACACTGTATGAGCTGAGCAACCTAGATGGTAGAATTAGGTATGTGCAGGCGAGCAGAGTCATGGTAGTAAACACTGGCAGCCATATACTGGTTTTGCTTATCAGTTTCTGTACTCCAACAAGATTATAGTCTTGTGTTAAAAACCTGCCGGGTATAAGAGGCTAGCTGGGCTGATGGAAAAAAGGGGGTTGTCTGCGCCTTTCCCCCCTCAGTACCATTCATCACCTCCCATCACACGCGTCATGTTTTTGCTTCCCAGCTGGAGTGCTTTCAAGTTATATAATGTGAAATGACAGGCTAAAACCAGAGGTGGAGTGATATGCGGTTTGTAGAGCTGAGGTAGAGAAAACGGACCTGCTAAAAAACGCTGTAATGTGTCATGTTCTTTTGAGACAGGAGGAC